TTGCTTGGTTTTGTTAATCAGATATGAATGAATAATCATGTTATTTGTTGGTGCCACTTAACTGTGGGCTCAAGTTGCTGTAAATGCCCATTTAAAAAAATCGTAGAAATAATTTCTATAGCTCTGCAAAGTATTTTAGTCCAGCTGTTTTTGTTGCATTATTTTTAATCGTTTGTGACACTAAGAACTTGGGGGCAGGAAGTTGCTCCTTGTATTGGCTTTGTCTTGCAGTAACTGGCTTCTTTCTCTGTAAATGCCCATTTTAAAAAATCGTAGAAATAATTTCTATAGCTCTGCAAAGTATTTTAGAGTCCAGCTCTTTTTGTTGCATTATTTTTAATCGCTTGTGACACTAAGAACTTGGGGGCAGGAAGTTGCTCCTTGTATTGGCTTTGTCTTGCAGTAACTGGCTTCTTTCTGTTTTGAGTCAGACTATAAATCAGCCCATCTATTTTTGGCGCACTTCCTTGTTTAAAAACAGAACAGCTCAAAAATAGGTGCTATTGATTTTTCTTTTTGCTGCCTAGTGATAGCATGGACCATTTGATGCTTTTAAAAAATAAATGCATGTTAAGAAACAAGTTAGCACGTTTGCTATTATACAGTTTTTTTCAGTTATGCATAGAGCAATCTTTGAACCTAATGTACTTGGTACCTCTTCTAACAGTGGAGGTTATGTAAAATAACTCTTGTGGAACCTGGTACATAAAGATTGTCCAGCCATCAAATACTCCTTGTGCTTGCCTAAATTGTATTCTGTTTTGGAGATAGATCAGTTTCTTACTTGCATATTTTGCTGATCTGTCTAGTCTAGTGTGATAGATCAAGGTGGGCAGCAACGCTCCCTCTAAGCTGTGGACTCTTGTGAGCAAAATTTTTACTTTGTGAGCTGCTGGCTTTAAAGTTGTGAGCAAGAGATTTGGCTACTGCATAAATTAGTTTGCTCTGGAGCCATCCTTCCTGAGCGAAGACAAAAATGTGTGAGCCAGAGGCTAAAAAGCTGTGAACCAGCTCACACTAATTCAGCTTAGAGGGAACTGTGTTGGTCTGAAGCCATAGAACAAAGTTAGAATCCAATGGCACCTTTAAAAGACCAACAAAGTTTTATTCAAGGTGTGAGCTTTTGTGCATACACACACTTTGTCAGACAATGAACTGGAATTACAGAACATAGTTTATATATAGGGGTGGCTTGTTAAATTAGGATGCAAAATAGTAAAAAATGTTTATAAACAGATCAAAAGAAACCAAGCTTGTCATTCTTTTGATCTTTTCATTCTTTTCATTGTCTGACAAAGTGTGCATGCTTAAAAGTCTTAAAGGTGCTGCTGGACTTTATCCAGTGTGATAGTTTTTGTGAACTGAAAACTTTTATCTAGGAAGACTACAGCATTAAATATATACTTTCTGAATGTTGTATAATGCAAGGTCTCATGACCCCCAGGGGGTCGCCACCTCCAGCTGCCACCACTCTAGACTTTGGGTCCCTTGAGAAGGCCCAGAGTACCCTCCCAAGCCCATCCAAAATGCCCCTTTTTAAGCCGAGAACATAGATGTGATGACCAGGCAGAGAACAATTAAACCAATGGTTTATTAACACAGTACTGGGGCAAGGAACACAAGACAAGATGCTTTAAAATATATAACAGTGTTTAAAGGCAGAATAAACGAATCTAACGTGACTACCTAGTTCATTTAACTGGTTACTGCTTCAAGGCCCACAGCCTGCCAGGCCTCCTGACTGTACTCACTGTCCCAAGTGAGGGATCTTTCTCTCAGACCAGTCCCCTCAGTTTAGCTCTGTGTGAGGCCAGACTGCAGAAGAGCACAGTTTTTCAGTTCAAACAGCTTAAGTCAGAATCTCCTCACACAATCTCTGGAAACTGATTGGCTACAACCCTCGCTATACATTATGGGGATTGTAGGCTGTCTGCTTTCTACTCCCACACTGGTCTCTCCTGGGACCAGGCCACACTAGGCCTTGCTCCCAGTCCTGCACAGATCATGACACAAGGATACTTTTAAAAAATTACTAAAGATCAGGGTGTATTGTTTGGTTACCAAAAAGTTCATTATTTACTCACACAATTGAAATATGTTGTTTATATGTTGCAACCTGTATGGCTTCTGTATTCTTGTGTCCTATCTGTGCTTCTCAGGTAGAGAGAGGACTGTTTACATGGACACCAAAGCATTTCAGTGGTTTCCCTGACATGATAAAGGAAAGGAAGGAAGGCGATGAGGGCAGATGACTTGCAGGAGCAGAGTGGGTTGCTTCTTCTGTTTGTGGTGGAAACTTGACTCGTTACTGTGTGTGTATAAAGTGCCATCAAGTCGCAACTGTTTACTACCATCCATCCTCTTTTTTTCATTGCAGTCTGTGAACTACATGAACTGTTTTAGAGACCACGGGTAATCCTAGACAATGCATTGAAAACCAGAGTTTAGAGATTCAGGTTTAACTTGCCTTCCAGTATGAGTTGGAATTTCCACTTGGCTATGAAGCATTTGGAAAAATGTTTAATCTGCAAGTCTAAAACAGATTAATTTTCACTTATCTGCCTATTATTTCTCCTGTCCCCAATCAACTAATGTGTAGTCAGTGTTGGCAGCAGCCATTGTTTCTTTTTGTATGCTGATTAAATGAGATCCTTGAGATCAAATATGTTATACATGTGAATACAGCAGTAACTATAATGTATTGTCTTGGTATAGGAAGAAGACAAAATGATTAAAGATGACGAAACAATGGCCTGGAAGTTCCTTTCTGCCACTCAGATTAACACTCTGCTAGAGCAAGATATACCAGGAGTTCAAAAGTAAATTTCTTTTTTTTCCCTCAAAAACTTTTATTTTGGATATAACATATTCAACATTTAGTTACATTCCCATAATTCCGAATCCATTTCTCTTATCTCCTCCCCTCCCCCATACAATGGCTTCCCGCAATGCTTCTCCCTACCCACCCATAATATAATTCCCCTTTTCTTTCCCATTTTCATTTCACGTCTCAAGGTAACAATCTTATTTTGTATAATTCAAACTTTTCAAATTTCAACCCTTAATAATTATCTAAACACAGTAAATTATTTTTAACATCCCAATTATTTTCTAAATATTCTTTAAAATCCTTCCATTCTTCAAAAAAGTCTTTATCTTCTTTGTTATTCAGTTTTTTTTGTTAATTTATCCATTTCAGCTATAAACAAAACTTTCCGTATCCATTCCCATTTGTCAAAAGTAAATTTCTTGAACTTTTTCTTCAGTGTTGTTGTTGTTCAGTCGCACAGTTGAGTCCAACTCTTCGCAACCCCATGGACCAGATACATGTAACAGCTTCTGTCAATAATTCCCTGGGATATACAGTCTATGTGGCTTGTATCTGTTCTTGCCAATCTTTTTCTAAAGGCCACACAAACAGGATCCCAAGATTATTCTGGACCTCTTGACCAGAAAGCACCCCATATCATCTTGTGCCAAATCGTCACTTAAAGATAATTTTTCTGCTCTTAGTTCCCGTTGTGAACTCATTTAAGAGGACTGTATAAAGGCAGAGTTCATTAATGATGGTTTCTTACAATGCAGGCCTAAGCAGAGTTGCACCATTCTAAGGCCTTCGACTTCACTGGACTTTGAAGGATGTACCTATGTTTAGGATTGCACTGTGAATATACATCCTGCCCTAAAGGGCAGGGCAGTTTAAAAAAATAGAACTGTTACAATAATTACTCAACATTTACACGTGCCTGAGGTGCAGCAGTGCTAGGAATGGCGGGGCTGCACATGACCGCTGGGTTAGCAGGTCACCCATAACGGAAACGGTTAAACCCGCTCTTTTAAAACTGAGGGGAAGTGGGGGTTCATTTGTCCCGGTCCCATTGGTTGACTTGATTTCATGCCTCAGTTTTGGATAATTACAGCTTTTTGATCACAGGCAGCTGGAAGAATTTCTGGATTTGAAGCAACACAAGACGTCTTTGAAGGAAGCTGTTGTGTTGGATTATTATGTGTCAGGATTTTGTTGGGCTAAAGAGATGGACTTTGCAGCTGCGCAGATTGCGGGATTCATGACTCTGTTGAATTTGCTGTTGGAGAACCTTGACAGTAAGTTTTTTCTGTATTTCTCGTGGTATATAAGGATTTAAGTTTTCCGTTTGACCCTTTCTATAAAGTAATCAATTCTTGTTAGAAGTGATTGTTTTTCAGTTTCTTTCAGTTTTCTGTGTCTCCGAAGGCTGAGCAAGTTGTAGATTCTATTTTGACTAACTGCTGGCCACAACTTAAATGTTTGTAAGAGGAGATTACGTTGCTGCTTGGTGAATTGGGGTGGGGGGGGGGGGAGAAGTTTCCCTCTTAAATACAGTGATGTATTGCCTAGGCTTGGGCAAGTTTTCCTACTGTTTAAAATTTCCTGCACACCCTGTTACTAATAAAAAATACATCCCTCTGAATCTGACCTGCAAATATAATTCATTTATTTTGTATGTGCAGGTCAGCTACGCAATCCAGGTGCTGGCTACCATCCAAAAATCCTCTTTCATACACGGGAACTGCTTTCTGCAAAGAATTTATTTTTCTCTTCTTGTAGGAAGTTAATTTGCGCAAGAACTTTGGGCATGATCCAGCCAACGTCGAGCACTTGTCAGTCTCAGGTATTTCAGTGGGGAGAGTGGAGCATGTACTTAAATCTCTCCAACTGAAATCAGTTGAATTTTGTTTGAGGCAAATCAAGCCATGTCAAGACAATCCCAGTTCTGTGGCTTATTGTGCAATAGCTTCTGTAGCTTATTGTGAATACCAAATTGTGGTGATAACAGTTTTTCTTTCCTCCTTGTGGCCTCCTAAATTTAAGTCATGGTATTTCTAGCCAGGGCTTTTTTTGTAGAAAAAGTCCAGCAGGAACTCATTAGCATAATAGGCCACACCCAGAAGCAGAAACTCATTAGGATATTAGGCCACACCCCTGACTGCACCACTCATTAGCATATTAAGCCGCATTTCCATGTTACCAGAAGTGTGGTCATCCAGCCACACCCACCTTTTGCTTCTTATTTTGTTTACCTTGTTTGTTGTCAATACCCAGGGCCTTTTTTTGTAGCAGGGACTCCTTTGCATGTTAGGCCACACACCCCTAATGTAGCCAATCCTAAAGAGTTTCTGCTGTTGGGTGTGGCCTGTTATGCTAATGAGTTCCTGCTGGGCGTGGCCAACTTGGGAGCCAGCCGGAACTCCGTTCCTGTGTGTTCCTGCCCAAAAATAGCCCTGTTTCTAGCATATATGTTATCAGGATCAGCA